TTTGCCTACATCAAACTTTTTTTCGATAGGAACCCCTATTTGGGTATAGGCCTCCTCCAGCTTAATCCAATTTTCTTTGTTCTTAGCTCTTTTCATCCATTATTTTCTTCTTTTGTTTTAGCTATCCCTATCTTGGCATTGAAGTTTCCCATTAACAGTACATTCTCACTAGCCTGCGCTGGTGCTTCTTGTAGTGATTCGTAAAATTTTATCGGTATTTTCTTTAGAATCCTTTCCTAAATAGGCTATTATCACTACATTAAACTATGTAGTATTGCCAGTATTCGATCCAATACTGGGTAAACTCGTAACAATCTGTATTCTCCAAGGTACACGCGTGCGTCCGTTCCAATTGCCCATTGTCTTCGACTTACAATAGTACGAAGGATGGCTAATCAACCGATGTATAATCAAACGTTCGATTTCTGGATTTTCCAGGCGATATATTCCCAACACTTAGTTTTCACTTTCCGATTCGGATCAAATATTAAAGTTGAAACACTGTATTAAATGAAACTGTGAAAAAAATGACGCTATCTATGACTGCAGACTAAAAGATTAATTTTAGTAACGAACCATTTTTTATTGAAATAATACTGGTAGGTTTTGAACTTTTTACCTAGAAATTTTTTCTTGTGAGTTTATGTGAAATTTTTAAGTAAAGCTTCAATTCATAGAAGCGATTTATTACCCTGGCAAACGAAACCAAAATAAAACCAGGACTGCTTTCTTAAAACTAAGTTTTAGTAGAGTTTTTTTTTTATGTTTGAGAGATTACTGATAGCGTGGAGGCCTTTCCAGTTTTACCAGGGTAGGTGGGCGGACAAGGGCTCAGCCAGGAAGGTTGAGATTTGCTAACAGCTATCCGAGCGCCTCCAAGGAGCCCAAACACCTCAAGAGTAGCTTCATTGAGTAGAGTTTGGAAGGGCAGGCAGCGACTGGTTCTATCTTAATTGGCGACCTAATTTGATTTAATTAGGGTGGTATAAAAACACCAAAAAGTATGTGCATTAAATGGTTCTTTACCTCTTTGTAATATTGTTTGGATTATCGTAGAATTTTCGACTATTGAGCATTTTGTTCAAAAGTAGCAGGAATTAGTTTTATCGAACCTTGAATTTACATTGTTAATTAGATTAATTATCTGTTTTGATTTTTTTTAGTTTCAATTATCTCAGAGTTATATTCAGTTTATTCAAGACTAAAATCGTATCGTAATCGTAATAGGCAAAGTGAAAATTCTAAATTCACGCAAAGAGGCCTCATTGAGTTGCCGAAACCTACCCATTTTTCAAGATTTAAGACGTCCCACGCTAATCATTTGATTACTGATTTACCCCTAATACACGAAGAACTTCAGCAAACATTCCTGATTATATAGAGCTGATATTTCATTAAGAGGAAAGCTTCTACGGATCTACTTCCAAGCTCTCCAATAATCTTCAGATCAATAATTAAACATTGATTTCCTCGTTAATCTCACAGGTCACTATCGTACCAGGCCACGATTCTCGGATTGAGTCGATATATTTGTGAGAGGTATTTGGTGTTCGGCGTCTGGACGTAACTGCTCATGTTCCGTAAGTGTTTCCGGGACATATAACGCAGGAGGGAATCGGAGTCGGTCGATAGGTTTTTGGGTTGAGATGTTTTTGATTCCTTTATTTTAGTAAAACCATGTAAACTTGTGTATGTATTGCGTATCGTAAGCCCGCCCGAGTAGGTGTTGCTTTTCAACCTATTTCTGGCGCGAAGCGGTTGTGTGTTTCGGTTTGTTTCGGTGGAATAGCCATTAAACAAGCTAACTTAGATTATACCTCATGTCGCAAGATTTGTTGCAGCATTCACGTCGTGGTGCTTGTTGGCTTCGATAACGATTTTAAACCGGGCGGGCTCATTCTCCTTACAATGCAATAAAAAGCCATTAGATAATTACATTACATTAGATTTTTGCTGGAAATCGCAAGTAATGGCTTCATAGTTTTAAGTGCTATGTTTTTGTTGATTAGTATTTCGTCTGTTTGAAGCATGTAATCCATCTGAATCGGGACTCTTAAGTTAAGTTGTAACAATAACAACTACGTAAATTAATGACCCGTCCATTTAGGATTGATCGAAATTAATTTGTGAAAATTAGACGTGTTCCATTTCAACAACAACAATTCTAAACGAGTTTTTGAATCTAGGCATTACGTATCTGAGTTGGTACAGCGCGAACAAATTGGATTTCCCGACTATGACCCAGTTTCGGTTTTAGTTAAAAAAACATCGGTAGTTGATATTCGAACGTTTCATTCTCAGTACGATTTTGCAGACATTTTGGAGATTGGCTTGGCTTTCGAATTCGGTTTACGAATCACCACTAGATTAGGCCAAATTGGAACTAGCATGTTCAAGTAATTTCTCATAACTTTGTAAGTCTTCTGTTAAGTAATATAAAGTCTTCTATAAGTAATTATAAAGTCTTCTATTTAAATATCCTAAATGCTACAGCGTCATTATTTTTTCAAAGGAAATAAACATGGATTTATCGGTCCCCACTTCACATTTTACTGGAGTTCTTATACAAAATAACGGCTTTGATGTCCACTGTAAGCATCAATAAATACTTGTTCGGGACGAGTAAAGGTTATTTATTGTTCTAGAATTTATTATTTTACTGTAAGATAGAAGTGTATTTTGATTTTTCTTAGAATAAAGCTCTTGTGAGGTTTTTAGTGTTGAGGGTTTCTTGTGCGTTGTGCGTTGTACGTTGTCCTCCAGAAACCTCATCGGAGCGGTCAATACAACACTACATAATTACAATATGTTTATTCGCGTCGGCGACCGCTTTGGATCGCTACACGTTAACCACTGATTGACTAACATATGTTGTTGGGGTCCAAGGGGAAGTTTTGTTGAGTTCCAAAGAGTAAACTAAGTATGTTGTTTGAGCACCTTTATTATGTCGGTTAAGCACAGATGGTAACGTCTTAACGAGTGCGTGTTGCTAAGTGCACTACTCTAAGAATATAATAAAATAACCTGACACCACAATGACGACGCACGGCGTGTCCACGTATTAGTTAGGTATGTGCAAATCGTACATATGTTGCTTATTACTATAACTGCATAGTAAGCTAAGCGGGGCGGGGTGCATAAAGATAAGGATTAATTATTGAACTTAATTTTTAGTTCCCTATAGGTAGGTACCGTCGACTGGCCTATTTGGGGAGCAAAGTAATTACATCTTATCTCAGAGTAGGCGGCGGCATTTATTTGTCAATATACATACATCGATGATTATATTGTATTTGACGCGTTCAATTACCGAGAATAGACAATAGTGACAGCGGGATTTTGTAATTGTCATTGGACTCTGAAGCAACAGCGGGTTTGTTATTAAGTGGAAAAATGTTTATAGGTTACATCGCAAACATGTACTGATTGTTTGGTGAAGTGTTATCTGATTTATATGTGGTTAACTATTGGAAAGCATGATCCATAACTTGTTGTATTTTGTGTGTCAATTATATTTATTAACTTCGAATTATAACGTAAAAACTAACGTTGTGTTTTTTATATTCTCCTTGGCCGATTATCCACATCCCAACATGGAAGTCGATGATAAAATTGGACCCCTCTTCTTTGGCTTCATATTTATGTATACATATTTTAATTCTTCATTTCGGTGATTTATCATTTGTCATTTCATCTGATTCATATTTAAAAATATAAGCTCCTCTTTTTTTTAAGGACATTTTAAATCTAAATTAAATATTCAGAGCGTACAGTACCACAGTCAGCGCATCCTAAGACAATAAAAAAAATCTCATACGAACACTAGAAGACATTTTTATGTGATCTTTTATAATGTTAATGCTTATTGTCCGACCCGCGTCTACCCAGATTCATTTTATTACATTCTTCAGTCCTTCAGTCTATTTATTAGTATTTATTTGACGTTATTACATACTTTATTCGGTATAACAGAGAAAACTACGTTAACTAGAAATTTATTTAGAATATGTAGCGTTGGTCCTACAGAGACTATTTCAATAAAAAAATTCAGGTCCTTTGATGTTATCTAAGAGTAAAGATAGGTAACGGGTATGGTTTTGAAGGGCTTATCAGTATTTTTATTTATACTTTAATTCATCTCGCTATTCAATGATTCATCATCATCATCATCATCATCATTTCAGCCTATCGCCGTCCACTGCTGAACATAGGCCTCTCCAATAGATTTCCAGTGCGACCGGTCCATTGCCACCTGCATCCAACGAGACCCAGCGCTTTTTACTAGGTCGTCGGTCTATCTAGTAGGTGATTGATTGCTAAATATGTTTTTCGAAATGATTCTTATAAATTGTTGTAATATTTCATTTTTTTCACTAACATTTCATCTCAAGGGAAAATACGAAATCTATTATATTAAAATAATAAAGTCGTTTGTGCATTCAGATATTTTACTTTATTTTATATTAATTAACATTTATTTTACATAATTTATGTTAACATTAATATTTTTTACATAAAATATACAATAATGTTTTTAACATTTCATTTTTACAATCTCTCAGAATTTAGGAGCTAAATAATTTAATAGTAAAACTATTTTTAAAAAACTATGCTATAATGTAAATAACTTTTTAAATTATTTTTATAAAATTTGACTATTTAAAACACATTAAATAAGATATTTTTGACAATATTTAAAATAGTTGAATTATTCCATAAAAGATTTAACACAATTTTTACTTAAAATATTTCTAGATCTTTCTTGGCAAATCCATAATGAAATGACTTTTCTGTTTTTAAGACTGCGACATCTGATTGCTTTGTCAGTATTAAGTAGGCCGGTGGTATGAAACCGCACGGGCCAACAAAGTTACCTATCACCAATAAATCTACACGGGAATCGGCTGTAAAGTCTAGTAAAAAAAAACCTCTTCGTTTAATTTGTAATGGACACTTAATCAAGTTTTATGTATCATTTTTCACTATAAGAATGGTCGTGTTCAGGTCGGCGGCTCTGGCGGTGGTAGCTCTTTCTCCTTGTTGAGTGGGCTGCTCGGATCTGCATCACCGCTGTGCCCGCTGCTGATCGCTACTGACGTTAGAGGAACCTAAGATATTGAGGATCTCTTAATTGTTTCCAAAAAGGTACGTATGTCACTCGTGTTTCCCAAGGATTAGAATCCTATCCCCACAATATTGAGGTCATTTTTGCATCGTGAATAATTACTGGTTTTATATTACGATTATCTGTCCACTTTACTGGTGGTAGGACCTCTTGTGAGTCCGCACGGGTAGGTACCACCGCCCCTCTTATTTCTGTCGTGAAGCAGTAATGCGTTTCGGTTTGAAGGGCGGGGCAGCCGTTGTAACTATACCGAGACCTTAGAGCTTATATCTTAAGGTGGGCTCGCAAGGTGGTGGGCGCATTTACGTTACGGATGTATATGGGCTCCAGTAACTACTTGACACTAGGTGGGCTGTGAGCTCGTCCACCCATCTAAGCAATAATAATAAAAAAACCTGTCTCACTTTAAGTTCGAAATAGGCGTAATAATTAGACTTTACTGTTTTTATTTTTCTTGTAATCAGTCAAAAGACATTCCGTTTTGTGGTTATTAGGTTAAATTTTCACGAATTGTATCACCGTGATCGGTGGACGAGCACATTGGGTTCAGCCCGGGAGGGGTGCCAACTTCTGCCCAGACAAGAGCAGTGCTTCATTAAATCTGTCGGATCAGAATCGCGAGAACGGGACTATCGACGATCCGGACAGCCCGTTTCTGTATGGAGTCAAATGGAAGTAGCTGGTATTTGTGAGCCCCGGCCCAGAGGTGAGAGCAGTACTCCACGCAAGGCCGGATCTGTGATTTATAAAGCGAAAGTCTCTGCCCAGGCGTAAAATACCGCTTCGCTCTGTTGAGTGTCCTCAATCCCTATACTCGCGGAAATCTGCAGGGGTACTCCTTGAAATTGCGGCGCTATGACAAAAGGGTCCTTCGCAATGAACGAAGTGATAGTATGCGTAATGTTTTTTTATTGATTTAATGTATTTTTGTACATAATTTAAAACAAATATTAACATTATGCACTCCTTCTCTATATTCTTTATAAGTGTGGGAAATTTCATATACTTCCGTCCGCGCAATTTTCGTAAAAAGGAGTACCAAGTGTATGCTTTACGTAGTAATACGTGAGAAATAATAATAAAGAATCTACACATACCTACCATAGAGACAGCGGTGCAGATGTGTGTGTCTGATTGTCTCGGCGGTGACAGAGCCGCGTCGTATCGTAAATCTAGCTGCAGCATAAAAAGCGTTGCTGCTAAAGTCGTGAGGGAGACTGAAAGCTGTGCCCCCGCCACTCCTATGCAGGTCGTGCTTCCACACCTGAAAATATTACTAATCAAATTCTATTTTTATTGGTGGACCTCTTGTGAGCTCGCACGGGTAGGTACCACCGCCCTGCCTATTTCTACCGTGAAGCAGTAATGCGTTTCGGTTTGAAGGGTGGGGCAGTCGTTGTAACTATACTTGAGACCTTAGAACTTATAGCTCAAGGTGGGTGGCGCATTTACGACGTAGATGTCTATGGGCCGCAGTAACCACTTAACACCAGGAGGTCTGTGAGCTCGTCCACCCATCTAAGCAATAAAGGCTCATCATATATCCCTGATTAGTTCCCTTCACCAAATCTCCGATCTCGTCGGGAAAAAGTCCGAATTGAATAAAAGGCATGATACCAATTTCAAGATTTTGGCCAACACTCAACAACCATTTGATCATGACCTGATCACCTATCTGTCCCAAAAAAGGGGTCAGATTTTTACCCACTTTCGTTGGTAATTTCGTGTCGATAGGCTTAATACTAATAATACTGCTGTAGTTTGTGTGTCAGCAAAAGTTTGATAGGTTTTATTGCACAGCTTGGTTGACTTAAACCATCTAGAGAGCTTCAACAAGTTCCAGAACGCATTTAATGATACCTCGCTCTTTATCGTATTGAAGTTCAAAACAAGAATACCTAAGATGCGAACAATCATAATCTATCTATCTTTTATAAATAAAAATGAATTGCTATTCGTTAGTCTCGCTAAAACTCGAGAACGGATGGACCGATTTGGCTAATTTTCGTCTTGAATTATTTGTGGAAGTCCAGAGAAGGTTTAAAAGGTAGATAATTATAAAAATGCTCAGAATAAAAATAAAAATAACAATTTTGTTTTCCCTTTCATGTGTCCCCCGTCGGACGGATTCCTTTTGTTTTTTTTTAAGTTTATGTTATACAAAAGTTTATGTCTTTTATTTATCGATTGAGGCACTACGAAGTCTGCCGGGTCAGCTAGTTTGAAATAAATAATCCTTACCCAATGTTTAATAATGATCTAACACAGAACGTGAGCATTGCTATGTGAGCTCCAATGGCAACCGTCCACAGCAAGGTCAGTGGTATAGCTGAGCACGGAGAAGGACCGAGTGCGCGCCATGGAGATCCCCAACTCCTGGTCGTGTTAGATCTTGCTGACGTCCAGCCTCCAAAACCTCGGCTGTAGTATACCGATGTGGCTGGAAGGGTGGGGTGATTTAGTATTTTGATTAAATTAAATTAACACTTGATTAACCATGCCCCAATATATCACCTATTATGTAAAATTTTGTATGTTGAGTAGTTAGTAGTAGTGAGAGAGAGTTAGTAGTAAATCTTGCCCACTGAGTTTCTCGCCGGATCTTCTCAGTGGGTCGCGTTTCCGATCCGGTGGTAGATTCTGCGAAGTACTGCTCTTGCTAAGGCCAGTGTTAGCAACACTCCGGTTTGAGCCCCGTGAGCTCACCTACACGTTAGGGTGAAACTGAAATAGCCTCTCAAGGCTATCGGCATAGGTAGGAAAAAAAATGTAATCTAAATAATTCAAAAATGACTACATAAAAGAGTCGGATGAAATTTCGCCAGATTATAATTTATAACATGGATTATAAAGAATACATTGAAAACATTTATTCCGAGTATAGTATTAGAATTGAAAGTGCAACACGAGTCATATTTGCTACTAGCGACCCGCCCTCTTTTCGCTTCGGAAACATTAAATTTTATTATTGATAGGCGAGTCCCACCATGTTGCGCGCGGTACGACAAAAACTGCGGGTGACGCCGTGGGGCGAAGTTAGTCTAAAAAAAGTAGCCTAAGTCACTCCTTATATCATCAGCTACCTATTAGTGAAAGTCTCATCAAAATCGATCCAGCCGTTCCAGAGATTAGCCGGAACAAACAGACAGACAGACAAAAATAAAAAAAAATGTTATTTTGATGTATGTATCGTATATATATTTATATGCATGTAGGAAAAAGCGGTTATTTCAATATTCCAAACAGACACTCTAATTTTGTATGTATAGATAATAAATATGAATGTTTTATTCGTTCTAATTTAGTGCGGCAGAAATAGGCAGGACGATGGTACAATGTCTCACTCACACACGTCCAGCCAGTACCATCGGAGTGTGTTAGTAGTATAATTCTCAAAAAACGCTATTACCGATAAATGTTAGTCTCCTTTTACGACATCCAATGTAAGATGTGGGATGACGCTATTTTAGCATATCTAGAACTAAAATACATGCTAAACATTTCGGCGTGTGCAAATAATTTTTTGTTGTATACAACATTTTTACTCTAGCGTTAATTTTGTTTCTGCGAATGTGGTCGTAAAATATTAATATAGTTTCTATTTCGACGCGGTTAAATTTACCTGTTTAATGAATATCGTAACGAGCACGCAAATAAAATCAAAATGATGATAGCGATATTTTAGTGGAGCCCGATTATTTTCTTAGCAAGTTTTGTAGATGCTCATGGTCCAACTCTTGTGCAGAAGTTTTTTTTTTTTTATTGTTTAGATGGGTGGACGAGATCACAGCCCACCTGGTGTCAAGTGGTTACTGGAGCCCATGGATATCTACAACGTAAATGCGCCACCCACCTTGAGATATAAGTTCTAAGGTCTCAAGTATAGTTACAACGGCTGCCCCACCCTTCAAACCGAAACGCATTACTGCTTCACGGCAGAAATAGGCAGGGCGGCGGTACCTACCCGCGGACTCACAAGAGGTATCTCAGTTTTGGTTCACCTGTGAGACTTTGACGAATGATGTCGATGGGATAATTGTATTAAACAAATGGTGTCGCAACCTTCAAACCAACAGCCATGACAGAAAAAGAGCTACGGTTCAATACGGGATCCCATCGGATTCCCAATATTATCAAATACGAGATTCCTTCTTTTCTCACTAAAGCAGCAACTTGTTAGTGGATCTGGAATCGTAATCCATACGTCATCATAGGTCACTATACACTTTAGCTACCATACGTAATATGTGACGTTGATACGACACGCTAGATAAGTCTGCGGTAAAAGTAAAATTCCATTATAGTCATTACTATTTCCGAAGTTTTCCGAATCTTTTATAGTTTTCGCGTACAAGGTCGTGATCACGAAGCGGTAAAAATATTCTTAAATCTACGACTCGCGAAAACCGAGGGAAATTCTAAAAAAATATATATTTTATATTGTGGGCAGATATTGTAGCGGTATGCCTGAATCTCGCTTATGACATTTTCAAGATAAGCTTGCATATACTCGTATAGAAGTTCCGAACAACAATATTCGAGCCGTTAATCTACTGAACTATGTCACCCGCTTGGTAGAAGATCTTCCTTCTATTGTTATATCTCCAAAATATAACAAAAAAACTCTTAAATGTTTTACTTATTTCACTGTTGTGATTAGCTTTAGACATCCCTTTTAGCCACCTTTTCTTTGTGCTAACCCTTCCATACCCATCCTCACCCCTGTCAGCGCTGTCATTTACGTTTCGTTTGAAATAAATTCACTTACACGTCCGTTAGGTATATAAAGCGTTCATTGCTGTTCTTTTTTTGTGGGAGAAATAAAAAAAGTACCGTCTTTTTTTTGCCTATCTTCATTATTTACTATCCTAAAAATATTATTAAAATCTATAGTATTATTACTTAGATATTTAAGATTTGAACCGTTAAGCGAGCTATTTTTTATAAGAAGGCACTAAATCTATTCTTGTCTTTAACAATTTTAGGGACTCTTTTTACGTCGTCTATAAAAGCACTCAGTTTGAGACTTTTTTTTTTTTTTTTTGTCAGGACGAAATCGCCGGACTTCCGCCATCCACTAGGGACGGCGGGCGGAGTATGTCGGAGTCGAACTGACTAAAACCTCCTGTCGCTCAACAACCAACGTCCAAACCTCACATGACAGAACTCATGAAAAGGCAAAGGGGGGAAAGTGAAGTGTTTAGTGCGGAGCACATCTCTCCCATCACCCTCCACAAATTTCCAATCCATGTCTTTTGTCTTGACGTGAGTTTAAATGTACAAGCTATCTTCTAGGTACATACGTAAATATATTTCGTAAGTTTTCAGTAAGGTATCGGCGGACCTCACGGCATACAAAAAAATGAACTGAACTATTTAAGAAGTATCTTGGTTTTTTTTGGGGGGCGTTCGGAAAATCATTTAGTTATTTTTGTGATTTGGTAGTTTTCGCTGTAATTTTATTTTAATTTTTTTTATTGCTTAGATGGGTGGACGAGTTCACAGCCCACCTGGTGTTAAGTGGTTACTGGAGGCCATAGACATCTACGACATAAATGCGCCACCCATCTTGAGATATAAGTTCTAAGGTCTCAAGTATAGTTAGAACGGCTGCCCCACCCTTCAAACCGAAACGCATTACTGCTTCACGGCAGGGTGGTGGTACCTACCTGCGCGGACTCACAAGAGGTCCTACCACCAGTAAGAATTCTCTTGGAGAGCTTGCTGACGTACTCTTATAGAACGAGACGTAGCTTCCTCTGCTGCATTTTAATCTGACACTTACCAGCAGCGAGTACTGTGATGGCCCCCGTTGGTACTCCGAGACCTAGTGCCGGCTTCTGCTTCTCTTCCAACCATCCCACCGCCCCAACCACCAGTCCTCCGATTCCGCAGACAATCTGTGCAACGAGATATGTGATCATTAATGGCTTCCGCATTGAATATCAAGAAAAATTCCAGTCATTAGATGTGGAAGGTATTTTAGACCTGCGAAGATAGGTAGCAGCATTATGCCTAATTTTGCGGTGAACCAATTTGACGGTTCGGTAAACACTCGACGTCGCCCTAAGCACGTCATTACGGATCCTCCTGATCCAGTAACGGTGCTTTTAGGTACCACAAGCACCGATCACCGTCCTTGTCGAACCCGTAGCTTGCGACGAAGGGCTCGACGACTGAATTAGCCCATAGATACAGCCCACTGAGTTTCTCGCCGGATCTTCTCAGTGGGTCGCGTTTCCGATCCGGTGGTAGATTGTGCGAAACACTGCTAGGGTCAGTGTTAGCAACACTCCCAGTTAGAGCCCCGTGAGCTCACCTATACGTCAAGGAGAAGCTGAAATAGCCTCTTAAGGCTATCAGCATAGGTAGGGATAAAAAAAGACTTTTTTTTGTATCGTGAGAGACTTTCTTATTAGGATTAAGGCACAAGTGGGTTCTCTTTTTAATGAATACATTGAAAAAATTATTGAATAACCAAAATTGGCTACACTATTCGCAGTTTCGTCTGAATATTCAAGCGACTTCCAGGTTGCGTTTATAACGAAGTTTACGAAACGCCCAGAGTTCATTAAATTACACGAGATTCTACTCGAGGTGTTGCCAACGTCACGAGAATGTCGCCAGCCCTGTATTTTACATGCAAACGATGTCATCGCGTACTGTCATAATTGCGCTGGCTTTGTATCTTCGCTCGTAATTAACTGCGGAGATGTTTGAGCTTAGTAAGAGCGAAATTATAGCTTGGGTACACGTATCTGATTACTGGTGTCATTTATTTTGTGGTTCTGTGGGGTTGGTAAACAAGTTTAATATGTATTATTATTTAATTAGTTTAAAATAATTTTAGACATATGAAATACAATTGAATTGGCATTTTTGTAAGTTTACAAATGTATCCGAAACGCAACCTAACTAGTAAATTAGCTATGCTTCACTTAACTTGAGAATATCAACAGCGTGAATTTCGTCACCCAACTTGAGACCTGAGGTCTAAGTCTGGATTATATGTATAGCTAGCTGACGCGGCAGACATCGTAGTGCCTCAATCGATAAATAAAAGACCTAAAGTTTTGTATAAAATAAACTTAAAACAAACAAAAGGAATCCGTCCAACGGGGGACACATAAAAGCGAAAACAAAATTGACATTTTTATTTATTTCCGAGCATTTTCATATTTGTCTATCTTTTAAACCTTCTCTGGACTTCCACAAATAATTCAAGACCAAAATTAGCTAAATCGGTCCATCCGTTCTCGAGTTGTAGCGAGACTAACGAACAGCAATTCATTTTTATATATATAGATAGATAGATAGATGTGCCATCCTCCAAAGCCAGTTTCACGGTTGGAACAGGCAGGGCGGTGTATACCCATGCGGATCCTAAATATAAAACCGACAGTAATTACGCAAATTATATTATAATTTTAGCGAATTTTATTTTTATTACACAACGTTATTCATTCATCACGGAAGTCTTTCCTCAATATAACTTAAGGACGTATTTCATTAGAAAAATTGGGATTTGGACATCGGCTTAGTTGAACCTTTAGTAGAACATCGGTCGATATGAGCTGAAAATGTATCTTTTATTTTATTTTATTTTTATTGCTTAGATGGATGGACGAGCTCTTAGCCCACCTGGTGTTAAGTGGTTACTGGAGCCCATAGACATCTACAGCGTTAATGCGCCACACACCTTTAAGATATAAATTCAAGTATAGTTACAACGGCTGCCCCACCCTTCAAACCGAAACTCATTACTGCTTCACGGTAGAAATAGGCAGGGCGGTGATACCTACCCGTGTGGACTCACTAGAGGTCCTACCACCAGTAAAACCAGACTAGTAAATTTTACGATTTCGACCGCGACGATTCATACCTTCTTACTAGGTAGTAGTAGCTTACCTGTAACACTCTGACCCTTAGAGCTATTGCAAAAGGGTATAGCCGGACTCCACCCGCAAAAGGGAGATCTGTATCATCGCCCCTCGACGCACCGCTGACGGCACTGCACACAGATTGCTTACGCGACCACATCGTTTTGGCACGGAACACTAAATAAAAAATTAGGAAGTGATAGGTCGAGACGAAATGGTTATGTTAGTAAAAACTTATATTAGAATAAAGGCGGATTTGTACAACCTGTAGGACATATTGTGGGTCTCTATGGGTAGGTCATATCCATCATGTTTACTTTGTTGTCACGAAGCAATTATACTTTCCAGTTTTTTATTTCTTTTATTCTTATTCGGTGATGGTACCTACCGGTGCGAGCTCACAAGACGTCCTACCACCAGTAATTGTGCAAATTATAATTTTGCGGGTTTGATTTTTGTTTCACGTTGTTATTCCTTCATCGTGGTAGCCAATCGTGAACATATCATAAGTAACATTTCATTAGAAAATTTGGTACCTTGCCAGAGGAATTTGAACACCGGTGCATTGCTAGATACAAATGCACCGGACGTCTTATCCTTCAGTTCACGGCTTCAAAGAGTGGGCTACCAAGCAACTACTGTTATTAAAAGCACTTTTACAGTTTACTCTCTTTTCGTTTTCCGTGACCTTGCAAACTAGAAAGTATTCAAATCTTCTGCAAAAACATAATGACAGTAAAAAAACGCGAGATTCAACCGTAAAAGTAGTTTTCATTAATAACCGGGAACAAATACTTGCGGTTATCCGGCCCCAATTTAGGTTTCCCTGTCTTATGGGTACCAGAGTCTGGCGTACATATTTACATACGTTTAAATTTATACACATACAGTTAATGAACATCCAGACAAAGAGCAAACAAACTTGTTCATCACACGAATGTTTGATAGATGTGGGAATTAGATCCCCGACTCTCGGCGCAAGCTATTGCACCACCGAGTCAGTTTTGATTATGTCTCAAGAAAACTGAAGAAAATACTATAAAACTGTTGAGATTTGAGACCTCATATCTCAAGCTGGACGACGGCGTTCACGTAGCGATGCCTATGGCCTTCAGTAATTGCATAACACAAGGCGGGCCGCATGTCCGTCTGAGCAACAAAAATGAAGACGGATTTTACTAGTTTTAACACTAATCATACTTACTGGTACCTACTTACTTACTACTTACTTACTGGTACCTATTTCTATCATAGCGGGTAGATAACGGTATATGACAAGTATAATATTACTCAAAAGAAAAGTATAATAATGATAGATTAATTGGTAAGAAAAAGACACGAAATCAAATGTGCAAAAGCAATAAGATGATACATGCTTTTCAAATGCAAAAGTTCAAAATGGTAATTTGACCCGTTATGGTATGTTTAGTGTTAAAGTTAAAGCGTGCATCAAAAATAAAAAGCCTTATTTTACTATGTTTTAACACAGAAAATACATGCGAAGCAAAGACAAGTATAGTCAGGCTCTGGGTACTAATTTTTATTAACAATCATACCCCTTGATTCTATGATATAGTGTCGGGGTTAGTAAACACGAGAATTGAGATGCTCAATGTTTAATTTAATTAATTCATTCTAGTTACCGTTTCTTAGTACGCGTAATTGGATTAAGTATTTAACTTGTTACAAAATAAACACCATTTAATCGTTTCGGCCCGACAGAGCCTTACGAGAAAGAAAAAAAAACATCAATCGCCAATTTTGAAACAGGGCGAGGCCGTATCGACATGTGCTTTGACGGGCAAAACAGCTTCTGACATATAAACACGTGCAATTGGTGAAGGTATTTCGCAGTCTCCGTGAAATACAAGAGACTTTAAATACCCTTTTACTCGACTTCTACATTTTTTATCTATCTATTTATTCAACGGAATCTTTCAACGTTATTTTCGGTAACTTCTAGTAATCTGGTTGACTTTATGATTTGTACATCTATCAAGAATTTGATGACAATATATTTAATAGTTTACTTACTTTGGCCATTACTCCCAGTATAAATTCTGTCAAGGATCTTACTCAGTGGCGGGCAATTGGAGAGGCTTATGTCCAGCAGTGGACTGGTATAGGCTGATGACAAAATACTAACCAGGGCTTAAACAAACATATTATTCTAAAATGTTATTGTAAAATCGAGTATTTTTATTTAGGCAACGGTGATCATCGGTGAGCCTTGTGCTCATGCCAAATCCCTAGGTAGCATGATAAGAGGACATTCCGCGCCGACTCTAAGTAATGCGATATAAGGTCAAAAAGAAGAAAAATCCCGCAGATCCAAAGGTTCAAAATGGTCCCCAACAACAAGTTTCTCGATTACCTAATATACTCTCTTCTGTATACGGTCAAACGGAACGTCGGCCCTTAAAATCCTATCACAATAATACATACATTACAATTGAAATCATTGAAGTAGGTCATAGGTCGTCTTTATATAGAATGTTCGCAAATGTGTCAGGCGGTTTTCCACATTGCCACATACAGTTAATTTAAGCTGAGAGCTATTTCAGTTTCGTTCGTTATTTTAGTCTAAATTCGTTCCATTAACTTGAAGATTCAGAATGTTGGGATTAAGAATAATATGTTGAATTATTTCACTTGAATTTTAATGTGCATTCGTGAATGTTTTTCTAAATTATGTAATTATGACCGCTGAATATTCTTTCTGCCTTTGATGATTTTTATTTTTAAATATAATAAACAATTGGAATTGTCATTTATAAACTTTCCGATAGATGTAGATAGAACGGTGGTACCTACCAGTGCGGGGTTACAATCACTAGCAATAACGAAAATTTACAGATAGAATTTGCGGATTTGAATTTTATTATACAATGTCTTACTTTCATTATTGAAGTAGTTCACCAAAACATATAATGTACGTGTTTCCTTTAAATATTGGCACCTACCTCCAGGGTTTGAATAGCAGTGTAATCACATAGCTTGAGTACACAGAATATCTTATTCTTTAGGCCAAGACCACTTTAAAGCAAATCATCGCGTTCGAAATAATTGGCTTGCCTTTTTGTAGGAACAGCTTCATGGTACAGGTTAAAGAGGACGAAAAAGTAGGAGTTTGAGGAGGATTACTTCAAACATCTGCATTGCATGATTAGCCATAGTTCTTGGGTCTCAATGACTGTTTTTCAACCTATATATCCTGAGGCTAAGTCATCGCCAGAGCTCTTAGAGGCAATGCGAATTACGCCATTTTACTCGAAACTTGCAGTAGAAGTCTTATGCCTCAAGTTTATGTTATTCTATTGTATGATACGGTAGGTTCTATCTTTGAGTCATAATTTTTTTAATCAAAAAATACCCGGTTTATTTGTTCCGTCCCGCCGGTCTCACTGAAGTGTTTCATTGATCTGCTATTTTCACTGTTATCAAAATGCGCAATCTTATCCGACTAATGTGTGGCTTTATCGAAAAGCTTTTGACATTATGATTGATAGCATAAGCTGAATATTGAAAAGCTTGATTGTTTTCCTGGTGTTCTTGTTCGAAGTTCACAGCGAAGTTTTTGTTTCATTTTTTACTGTTTTTGAGAAGTTCAATTTTGGTCTGGTATTATGACTAGATGGGATACTAAGGAATATAAAAGGTTCGCCTGGCTCCAAACTAAGGTGAATTATCCTACAATGACCAAAAAACAGTCCCTGTAGTGAGTATAGCTCTGAAGCTAACTTATTTAAGTACAAGAAAAGGCTCTTTACTTTTTAGGTATTTAAATACTCGCCAAATAGATATTCTCCAAATAAAACTATTCTTAATTGACTTCAACTGGTGGTAGGATCACTTGTGAATCCGCACGGGTAGGTACCACCGCCCTGCCTATTTCTGCCGTGAAGCAGTAATGCGATTCGATTTGAAGGGTGAGGCAGCCGTTGTAACAATACTGAGACCTTAGAACTAATATCTCAAGGTGGGGTGGCGCATTTACTTTGTAGTTGTCTATGGGCTCCAGTAACCACTTAACACCAGGTGGGCTGTGAGCTCGTCCACCCATGTAAGCAATAAAAAAAACGTGGAAATCTTTAAAAGATTTTTAGGTCATAGATAGACATAATATTTTCTCCTACCAAAAAGTGGTAAACGCGGCCAAAGTTGTTTTCACTTCAAAAATCATCAAAGTAGTTCCGAATAACCTTTTGACAGGCTAGCTACCTAGCAATGGTTAATTTTGGTTTTTTCCATATTCTCACCGCTAGCTCTGGTATAGATTAAAGAAGCTTCTAAATTAGAAATTTAAGCCGTATTACATGTTTTCGGATGGTAAGCACGTAAGGGCCGATCACATACATAAATCCCAACGATCCAGCTGCAAAAACATTGTTGAGTTCGGTTTATGGATTTACCTTTAAGGATGGAACAGAAAATAATCTTTTGTTCAATGTTTTCGGGCGGGTGTAGTGAAATTTAATGGACATTAGGGTGAAAGGGGTTTTTGGATGTTTTCGTCACATTACCCGTCAGTAAGGTTGAGTTGTTTATAGACATCTACAACGTAAAATACGCCATCCACCTTGAGATATAAGCTCTAAGGTATCAAATATAGTTACAACGGCGCCCCACCCTTCAAACCGAAACGCATTACTGCTTCACGGCAGAAATAGGAAGGGTGGTGGTACCTAGCCGTGCGGACTCACAAGAGGTCCTACCACCAGTAATTACGCAAATTATTATTTTGCGGGTTTGATTTTTATTACACGATGTTATTCCTTCACCGTGGAAATCAATCGTGAACATTTGTTGAGTACGTATTTTATTAGAAAAAGTGTAAAACTTGTTGGTCGTGATTGACAAAGTCCAAGAGAAAAGACCTTCCGATCACCGAGCTAATGTTCGCATCAAGTAACTGTCCTAAGCAAACATCATTGGCCGTTAGGCGTATTGTGAGACCACACGACCTCACAACTTGGGTTGGGTAGTAGCAGCCACGTGAATTAATATTATATAGATCGTGAGGTTGTGTGTTTATCGAGATACAAATGTATGTATGTATATTGTACCACCGTTTGTCGGTTTGTTTGAGTTTTAATGCATTCACAAGTCTTTCGATGGTTCCAGTTATAAATTTATTAATACTAATGTTATTTTTGGTAC